ACAAATGGCAACTCTCATGCCATTAAGCACTCTAAGATTTACATCCTTTAGAAGTGGAGTCGATATGGATGCATCCCAAGCGAAGTTCCCACCTACAATCTCAATTGCTTCATCAGAACTACCTTTTGGAAGCTTCTCTATGACATCGGGCTGCAAGTCATCAAGAGAAAGGAAAGATGCAATACGATCAAGAGAAACTTTGGTTTGAGCAATCATTGAAATTGTATCTGGGAGATTGTAGATGGGCTCTTGAAGAATTCTAAATGTCGCGAGTGCAGACAATATCTTCCCAGATTCAAGTGGGATTCCCATAAGCATTGCAGCGCCAAAGGTCGTCACAGAAACAAATGTAGGAGCAACCCAGAAGACAAAAGTAGTCATAGCTGATGTGTACACATATTTCATCAACCATCCTGCCTCTGTAGTCCTGAGGTCCAAGATCCTAGACAGAAACTTCATCTCCCAAGCTTGAAGCTTGAGTATTCTCATATTCCTTAAGACTTCAGATGTAGCCTTCATCCTTCTATCTTTCGATTCCATGAGTTTCTCCTGAAACTTCTCCTGCAAACTCCCTAAAGGGATGTTTGCCAACATCACTATTATTGTAGCAACAAACGCAGCGATAGCAGCTAGGCCAAGATTTTTATAGAGTATCATCAATGCCAGAGCAACTTGTATGATTACCATCCAAGGATCATGCATATACCAACCGAAGTCACCAATCCTCTCGGCATCAACTGTCATAAAATTGATGATCTCTCCACTAGTGTGGCTTTGCTTTGACTGACAGGAGAGGGTTAAACCCTTGTTGTAGATTTTGGAAACCAGTGCTGCCCGTGCCCTATACCCTCCCTGCTGCACCTTGAAAAACCAATGCCTTTGCGCCAAACACTCTACCAACTTTGCAACGAAGAATGCAGCCACTAAGACATAACCTTCATTATCAAAGTCTCGTTTTCCATTCAGATACTGAACTAAGGTATCAATGAGGTACGGGCCAACATAAGACGCCAAAGCGTAAAGAAGCACGAAGAGAGCCGATAACACTATCTCCTTCCGTGCTGTGAAAACCAAAGCCTTCACCAGCATAAAGGTAGTCACACGGTTACTATTTCCCCCACCCACAGATTCTAGTTTTTCTCTAAAAATAGGA